AAGATCACCGAAAACTATCAATTCAACGAAGTCACTCTAGAAGAAATCGATAGAATCATAGAAAACCTAAACACTAAGAAAGCACCAGGAAGAGACAAAATTTCCAACAGAATAATAAAAAACCTACCGGAAAAAGCCAAAAATAAGATAAGGCATATATGCAACGGAATCCTAAAAACGAGAACTTACCCAGACCAATGGAAAATATCAGAGACAATTATGATACCCAAACCAGGAAAACCAGGAATAGACCCAAATAACTACAGACCAATTAGCCTACTCACGAACCTGAGCAAAATAGCGGAAAAAACAATTCTAGAAAGATTAAAAACAGTCATACAACAAAACGAAATCATACCAGACGAACAACACGGATTCAGAGAAAAACACGGAACTTCAACACAAATAGCAAGAARTACCGAATCGATACTCAAAGCCAAAAACGAAGGAAAATCGACAGGAYCAATACTCATGGACATATCGAAGGCCTTCGACAAAGTATGGCACCAGGGACTAWTATACAAACTAATTCAAATGGAAATACCCATCGCACTAACAAAACTCATCGCATCGTATTTAACAAACAGAKGATTCTACGTAAGGATAAATGAAGAGATTTCTGAAATGGAAGATGCAAGGGCTGGAGTCCCTCAAGGATCACTACTAGGACCAATCTTATACAATTTATACACAAGTGACATACCAAAAAGAGAGGATACTACCTTAGGGCTATACGCCGATGACACAGCCATTTTGGCTCACGGAAAAGCTACAAAAAGCATAACCAAAAGGCTACAACTACACACGAACCAGCTAATGAAATGGTACAGAAAATGGAGAATTAAAATTAATYAAGAAAAAACACAAGCAATAATGTTCGAATACAAACAAAGGAAGGAGAAACCAATGGAAAAAGTAAAGATCAATAACACGAAAGTAAAATGGCAAGACAACATTAAATATCTAGGAATCATAATGGAAAGAAATCTGAAATTTGATAAACATATAGAAGAAGCTGAAAGAAAGGCGAAGAGAATCAAGGGATACTTATACCCACTAATCAACTGGAAAAGCAAGCTAAACAAAGAACTGAAAGTAAGAATATACAAAGCAATAATTCGCCCAATCARGACATACGGAAGCGAAGTACTTATCCTAAATGAAACAAAAATCAGAATAATGGAAAGAATACAATGCAAGACTTTACGAGAAGCAATAAAAGCACCTTGGTACATAAGAAACGA